TCTGATAAATTTTCAAATGGAACACACTGGGTTTGCAGTCTCATGAATTAAGACTAATCTAGTCCTCTGCCCCTAATTTATATAAGCCTGTAGATTGTTTTTGCATAGAAAAACTTGTAGAGCACTTTTTCAGTGTGTTCCTTAACTGTAAACAAAACATTTTTGAGCAATGCCATCCTGCCATTCTATTTTAAATATTTCCCCTCTTAGTTTCTCCTGTGCCCTTGTGATCCCTTTCCTCAGATTTTGTTCCTCAGAAAGTTTTGGACAGCTGTAATTTATAATCTGGTCCCATCTTAAACAGATTAATTTAAATAGAACTGTGTAATGAAGAGATCTTGGGTTTAATCTTCTAAACTTTACATATATATTTTGAGAGGTAATCTGTGAAAATGTTTGGGTGCTTCCTGGACATGTTTTCCATATTAAACGTTCATAGGAAGTTGACTTTGTATTGTTCTCAATTTTCTGAAGCAGCAGAGCTCAGTTTTGAATAAAGGCTGAAGCTTTTGTGTAGAATCTGTTAACGGAGCTGAGTTTGAATAAACAGAAAAGCCCAGTGTAGGGTGTTATGAAAACACTTAGTGTTTCTCTAGGCTGCTTCCAAAGTGCAGAGTGTTTTTCAGATCAGCTTTTTGCTCCCTGTTTTGTTGTAATGATCAGTTATCAGAAAATTTTTTTTGGTAGACTGAGCAAATTTTCTTGGAAAAGCTCATGACAGTCCAGGAACAGTGGTGTGTTTACACTGCGACTGAAAGTAATCTTCAAAATTGTCAGGTCTGATCTGGCCACTGAGTTTAATTTGCTGGCATTTTACGTTTTGAGAACTCCAAGGCACTGATGTGCTACTTCGTGAGCATTGTTCCTCTCTTCCCAACTAGTTGGCATCTCATAATTTGTCTTCCTTTTAGAAGGGTTGTTTCATGCATTGCTCTTGACAGCTTCCTTCAGTCAGTGTCAACTCAAATGCATTGATAAGGTATCTGTAGTGAAATGCTAATCTGGCTTTTATTGTTGATCGGCAGTTCTAATATTTGTTCTGTTACCATAGTAAACTACAAATTTCATTACATTATGAAATAAGATCATCCAGCTTCACAGAAGCTGTGTTGTTTTCAGGAGCCCTTCATGTCCTCCATTAGTTTACCTTCACCTTCTGGCTAGTCAAAATATAGAAAAAGATCAGATATTGGGGAGAAGAGCCACCAAGGAGCTTAATGCCTGAGCACCCTTGCAACTTCACTGAATAAACCCATGTTGCTTTTTAAGGATCCCTGTGGTAAGGAACGACGGAGGTGGAAATCCACAAAGTAGCTCTGAATATCAGCAGCATAACAGACTTGTTCTTACTTACACCAAAACCCATTTTACACCTCTTTGACTAATTTTTCTTGTGCTGCCTGAGCACATGTGGAGCTTTCGCAGAGCTGGTGCAGGTGCCTCTGTATGAAGAGAACAAGCTCTGCTAACACAGAGGACCTGCTTGCTCCTGCAGGCAGCTGGAGTGCTAAAACCTGAGATGTAGTTAGGCACGTGGTTCAGCAAAGATCTAACTCCCCGGGAGGATGTGGTGGGAGAAGCTACATCAGCTGAAACTCCTAAAACTTCATGGTTGCAGTTACCAGCCCTGATACTAATATTTCTCAATGGCAGAAAGTGTCCTGGGTTCTGCTGCACACCCTGCTCACTCCTGGATGCAGACTTCACTGGTGATCATGTGGGATATCTTGGATGCTTGTAGATTGGTAGTAGGTGACCTGTGGGTGTTTCAGGCTGTAGTGAGGAATGGACTCCTGAGTGCCACCCTGATGGATGGTGACGACTGTAGATGTTTTGTGGGAGGGATCTTTTCACGACCTCTTGTCTTGTCTTAGATTTTGGAGGGATTTTTATTTCATATGGCCAAGTTTCACAAGTTTCTTTTTGCCTTCTGTCAGACACATCTATACATGTGTATAAAAATTTTATCTCTGTCTATCTCTATGTTTATATAAATGCTTGATGCTTTTACCCCAAAAAAGAGCTGATGACTCAGGGCATGAGCCAGCTGTACTGCTGCAACTGCAAAACTGACATTTTCAGTTTTACAAAGGGATTAGAGAAGTGATGACAAACAGTAACTCCCCATCTGAAAGGCTCAAGGCAACTGTTACCAGCTTGTAGGTAATGTTTATGTGAAACTCCCATATGTTTGTTTACAGTTCCCACAATTCTGTTTCAGCTTAAAAATGTAGTATAGTTCATAATCATGGGGAGCAGGTGAGGACAAATTAATGTCTTGTTTAACAAGCAGAGTTTCGGGGCGGGGGGGACACACACTGCAGAGAGGTCCCAAGCGGTCTCTTGAGTTGAGACATCCAGGGAATTTATCTGCTGTAGTGAAGCTTAGTTGAGGTTACTTTCTTCTGGTTCCTTATAAATCAACTTGCATTAGTCTCGGCTTTTAGAGTTACCTGGTGGGTTTTCTTTAGAATGGGTCATCCTGCTGCCTTCTTATACCAAGCTTGTTCAAAGAATCAAAGTTAGGAGTTAAGCAGGTTTTTATTTTTGGTCTTGCCCTTTCTCTCACAATTTCTTAAATGTAATTTGGTATAAGTTTATTAAAGTTTTCAAAAAGTTCCAGGTATAAATACTGAGTTCTGCCACATGGGATTGTCTGCTTCAAACAGCCAGGCCTTTGCTCTTCAAAATGTTTTGGGGATATGCTTGGAGAGATTAGAATAACTTGTCAAACAGCTTTCAGGTGTGCCTTGTGTGTTAGGCGTGGAGGAAAAATGTCCTGACAAAAGCAGAGACAGTTTTTGAAGTTCCTTTTATGTAAGCTCATAGGTCCACAGCAAGGAAAGGGTGGGGGGGATGCTGGTGTTAATTTTTACTGAATGTAAGTTTAACATAGAAGCTGTTTTAGTGTTTGACTTGCATGCATCCTTGAGGTGTGATTCATTGCAAGCTGTGGGGCATATTTTCATCCTTTGGTCCTACAACAAAACAGTATTTTTCTAAAGAGGAAAACTATTTAAAAAATAATAGCTTCACTTGGCTTTTATGAAAACAAAGCCATCGCTAACCACATCACGCTCTGTGTGTAACAAGCAATAGCTTTTTGTAGTGATCTTATGATGTCTGAAATAATACAAATGGAGATTCTTGAGTTGTGGGTGTATTTTGGCTGTCTCTTCCTTGAATTGTGGAAAAGTTACTGTATTTTTGAAATCATTATGTGTTTGAAAAATGAAACTCTGCAACCCAGACCTTGATGGGGGTTGTGTAAGGATAAAAGGGAGTTTCCCCTGGAGTTGAAGGACCTCTTTACCCCTGCACTGCTGCCAGTGCTGCCATGGTCTTTGCTTCTTCTCTGTCTCTAGAGCCTTTGCTGAGAGCTGGGGCTGTCCCAGCTGCAGTGGCAGGGCTGCTCACTGCAGCCCATCTGAGCTTTGTTCTTTGTTTCTTTCCCCTCTTCTTTTCTTTTGAAAGGACAGTATTTTTAGCTGAATGGAAATCATAACTTCTCAAACTAAGGGTGGAGTTTGTGTGTACATACTTTATGATTGGTTATGTAAGTAAACATACAGGTTTGTCGTCTTATACATAATGCTTGTTCTTTAGATGGTCACATTTTCTTCAGCATATCCCTGTGGTGGAGGCAGTGAAGCACTATGCTTTCCTTAGCAATGAGATTTTACTGATTTCCTTGTGACCCTTCAGAAGAGCACAGGTAGTATTTAGCTCCAAACCTCCTCCTTTCCTTCCAGCAGGCCACGCTGCTGTTGTTGTGCTTCATACAGAAGTATTCCTCTATTGCAGTTCTAAAGGGCAGCAAGATCTGCCACAGCAGTCAGAGAGCTTCTGTGAGGTGGTTTTGTGAGGAAGAAGTAGGCTATGTTTCTGTATTCCATGTTTTCTGAAGGCTCAATCTCTTTAAGCTAGCTGTTGTTTCTCAATGAGAGCAACCTGCTGTTTCCTTCTTCTCTGTAATGCCAGGAAAGAGATCCTGCAGACATGTGACTCAAACCTTGAAGAGAAGGTGACCAAAGCCACCTGATCAGCAGGGGACAGTGCCCTCAGTCTTGGCAGAGGACAGAAATGGTGGAGGAGGACAGTCTGTCAACACTGGGAAGCAGCATAACCCAGTGATTTGGGTGAAAGTACCCTTTTGGGCTGAAAATCAGTGTTCTTACTGGCTCTGTTGGGAGTAGAGGGAGTTTTGTAGTGAGCTGAAAAGTGACTTTTTGTATGTTCCTCAGTTTGTGTTCACACTGCTGCAGAAAGTGTTTGCATCCTCTTCATCAGGTGTTTCTCAATGTTGTGAACCTTTTGAGTCACTCTCACCTTGGCATGTGCCTGGTTAATTGCACAGGTCTTCTGCTTTCAGGCCATCCTCTCTCCTACCTCCACTTCTGCCTTGTTACCTGGCTGTATCTTCCTGCAAAAACTGTAATCTGAGGTGTTTCTAAATTCAGCTTTTTCCTAAAAAGTTGAGGACAGGGCATGCTGCTGTCATGACTTGCCTCTCCTTGTTTGCAACCGGAGTTGCAGTTCTGTACCTGCTGCAGATAGGAGTGTTCCCCTTGGCTGGAATGACCCCTGGATGAGCAGCACTGCTCTGCCTCCACCCCGCACTGTGCTGAGTGCGTCACCCTGAGAGGATCAAAATCTCCTTAAGGCAAATATTGAGAGTGAGACAGGTGATGGGAACCTGTCAGTGTTGGTCCTTCCTGGGTGCGTGAGCTGGCAGGATGGGGCTGGTTGGTGCCCCAACTGCCAGCCAGCGTACACGTGTCAGCTTGGTGCTTCCTTCAGCCTTCCTGGTGGTTCAGGATTTCTGAGCGTGGTGTAATCTGGTAGAGCCCTCTCCCTCTGTGATGGACCTGTGGTCTGCATTCAGCAGCTTTAATTTCTGCAATGGAGAAGCTCCATGTGTGCTCCTCACTAGAAAACATTTTTTCCAATATAACTTGTATTTAAAATGTCACTGACTTCTTTCCCCCCCTCCTTTCTAGACTGACTGCATTGCCATGGAAACCATTGTGGGAAGAGAAGACTTTTCTGCTGGTAACTCCAGAAACTGTGTGGTGCTTTTGGAAGCAAAGCTCAGCTCCAGCCGGCTACTTTCATTTCCACCAGCACGGACATTGACACACATCCTTTTAATTAATTTTTTCATAGGCATCAGCTCTCTACAGTTTAATTCATTTGAATTGAGATTTTTTTCATAGCTGTGCTTTGGTGATGGAATTTGGTCTTTCATGTCATATCTATTTGGGAGGCAGTGTGAATGCCAATAGCAGATCCCTGTGTGCCCCTTTCTTCCTCCTGCCTCTCCCATTAATTTTTTTTTTTTAATTTATGTTCTGAGAAGTCAAAGCTAGTTTCTGATTGTCTGTTTAACATGGTTTTGCTTCTCTGGTACGTTAACAAGTGGTTAGCTTAAAACATGTATTGTTTAGAAATATTTTGGCAGTTCAGGATTTTTTTCAGGTGACTGGGCAGAAGGAAAGAGGGAGAGGGGCACATGAGCCTGAGGGGTGAACCAATGAGACTGAACTGGTCTGAGGAGGAGAGACCTCTTCTGCCTTTTTTTTTTTTTCCTAAAGGTTTTGCTTTTATGGTACAAGAGGCATTTCTTGATCATAGGCTAGAATATTTTAAATCAGATGTCTGTCAGAGCTTAAACTGATTTCTTCTTTTTGCTCAGAATTTTGGTATGTACAAAGTAGGATTAATGGGCTGGTTGTCTTGTAGATTGTTTTTGTTCTTACCCTCAAGATACTTGTTTATAAATACAAATTGTGTAAAAGGAGGTTTTTGTTCATGCATTCAAATGGAGAACTGCAGAGTCGTGTCCAGCGTTTGTGACTTCTGCATTATATTTGTCAGCTGTAGCCTTTTAAAGGGAAACCACCCTAATTGATCTTACTTCCAACCAAAGCCCCATTTTTAATTTGGGACTATTTTTGTTCTTTCTTCCTGGCATAATGGGGGAGAAAAAAGTAAAATGTTGGCTCATCAGTTGTCTTTATCCCCCTTACAGAAATGTGAACAATGACTATTAGACATTTTTAAAATAAGCCCTGTTTTTTTCTACAATGTAAGTGCTTCACTCTTGTACTGAATTTTTTTTTGGTTGAAATGAATTTAGGTTTTTAACACTGCTATGAACTTAAGAGCATGACACTAGTCGTTGGTACGTGCAATGCATATTAAAAGGCACTGACGATGAATAAAGGGTTTAGAAGTGGTACACAAATCCTCATGCTGTACTGCACCACACAGCTGGTAATCCTCTACATTGTATATTGTACAACTGAGTTGTCAGGCTGCCTCACCTCTAATGTACAACCTTTAAATTGCCAGGACAGTTTGTATAACAAATTAGACACTGTCAGGTTAGATTGTTGGGTGATGTGTGCCCAAATCTATTTTTGAGTAGTATTAAAATATACATGTCACTAAAATATAGATACTTTTTTTTCCTTTTTAGAAACATGGTACCAATCAGTTTACGCAGTGTCTAGCGACAGGAGAAACTGTTGCTACAGGATTTAAAAGCACAGACCTGTTTTTGATTCTGGAAGAGAAGTTGAAGTTGGTAGTCACTTGTTGCTGCTAAACATACACTAATTAAAAGAAAGACCACTCTTACAGACCATAATACTGTCTTGCCATATAGCTTTGGTTTGGGCTCATAAATTAATAATGCAATATGTAGACAGCTTTTTATAAAGCTTTACATCTTTTCTAAGAAATCAAAATTTGGATTAAGATAGTTCTAAACATTTAATGTGAACAGAAAAGGTTGTTTTGAAGAAATTTGTTACGTACTTATTTCATATTAGATCCCTGAGGCTGCCATTGTACAATATACAGCACTGATATAATAAATGCTGAATAAATAAGTAAATGGGTAACCTCAAGTATAGTGGTACAAATACTAATAGGTACGGCATAATAAATATGCAATCTTTTTGAATCTCTTAGTTTACAGCAACTAATTTATTCAGTATTGTGCTGGAAGAACATTTTCAGATGATGTAAAACATATCACTATATATACTACCTTCCAGCTACCCGTTTATGCTGCTGTATAGTACAAAAATACCAATGATAGAACAATGTTTGTCCTGTAAATTTGATTTGATATTGGACAGTTATTGTCTGTACAAACTAAAACATAATATGGTTGAAACTGTTCATTATATTTGCTATTTCTGCTTCACAGATCTGATTTAAAGTTGAGCTGATTGATCTGGCTTTGTCTTCCATTGTAAATATTGTTATGTTGTTTTCTTTGTAAAACACATCGCGTTGGCGGTTTTGGGAGACTGGCTTGAAGCTCTGTATAGTGTTTATATTTATCTGACTTGGCTTTCCATAGAGCTACTTGCAGTAAATAAGTGTTCATGTAGCTCTGTCTCTGGGTTTTATTTTAAACTTTTTTTTTTTTTCTGTCAGAAGTGCATTTCCTCCTGCTGCAGCTGCCTTCTTTTTAAAGTGATTTTGTCACCCTGTGTCCCTGAAGATGTGGAGAGGCTTTTAGCATCTCTCGGGGGAGTGATTCCCAGCCTGTACAATTGTCTTTGCCACTTTAGTGTAAAAGGTAATGTAGAGCACAACACCCCCAAGTTTTCTTTGTTGTAGATTTGTAGTGCTGGTAAACAACTGAGTTTCTGAATGAAAAAATAATCATCAGTGCCTGGTATTTTATTTTTCTGCTTTAAATGCAGAAGTGTGGCAAATTTTGTTCATAACATTGTCCATGACCGAGTATGGAGTTTCAGGATAAAAAGTACTAGTCCTGGAAGGAGTTTGTAGCAGTGTAGTATCAAATAGGTTCCTGTCTTTATATTTAGAGTTTAGGGTAAAAGGGAACAGGTACAGCTTGCCGTTCAAGTTTTGTACTAATACTTTTGGTTTGATATGTGTTAAATAAGGTCTTGGTATGTAAATCCAAACCCTATATAGATATCTCAGAATTTTAGGTAATGCACTGACTTGTAAAAATAACTGAACTTAACTTGGAAAATACTACAAAATGTAGTGCCCTTTCAAATTCCTTCCTGATGTGAAGGTTATGTAATTAATGCTGTATTTCTTAGAAAGAGTTTTTATCCACAGATATCAGCATGTGTGATCTCCATAAATGTGGCTGATTACTGTTAAATGTTGTGGATTAGACTTATCTTTCCTTAAAAAATACTTGATTTAATTCTTACCCTGTTACTCAGTGCATTAAAACAGCTCCCTGGAACAGTCAAGTTTGCTGTAAGAATAAGGTCTTCCTTGGATAAACCAGCCCCCTTGCTTTTAGGGCCTCATTTTATAGCATGTAAACCTGTATTGGGAAGAAAAAGAAAACAGTGCTTCTCATCCATGGCAGAAACAGCCCAACCAGCAGTAAACAAACAGTGAAAATTATCCAAACACTGACAAGACTGTTGCAACAGTCTCACAATAGCTGCTTTAAGAGACCTTTGACTGAATGTCTCACTGAATCTGAAATGGGCTGACTGCTTGAGGGGTTTTTTTGGTGGGGAGGTGGGGTGGAGGACATACTTTTGTACCAATTTTTCAAACCCCTTTGGCTGGATCATTGACAGAACTCTTGCTTCTGAAGCATGGTGAAAGACCTCGATTAAAACCAGAAGGCAAGTTTAGACTTCCTATTTGACTTTGAAGACAATCACTAGAATACACATTAAAAGTCCCTGTTTTGAAATACATTGACCCATTCTAATGGGTCTCACGGGAAATAAATAACTGGGAGCCGAGTTACCAGGTAACAACTGCCATTTTGTTTTGTTTATCCCTGCATCCTCTTGTGGCTACAGCAGTAGTGTTTCCTCAAATATAAAGAATTTTCTCCCCTCACATTTTCCATGGAGGGTTGTGAAGCAACATGTCTCAGGGTGAGCAGGAGCACTGAGCTTGCCTCCTCCGCCACCACTCTGCTCCACCCATGGGCTACCAGGAGTACCTTACTGAAGACAGCAGTTTGCCTGCTTTCCTCACTGGTTACTGTCACCTTGCTGCCATCTGAGGCAGTGGTCACCTGCCTGCTACAAATGGGTTGAGTTTAATAATGTTTCTTTCAGGAGCTAATAGTTCTATGTACTTATCCTACATTTTAAATGTAGAACACTGTTACTGCTCCCCTGAGGTAATGGCTGCTCCTGCTTTCCATTAGCAGTCATGTCCTGATTCCCATCACTGGCACAGTTCTCAGCTTGTGCTTCTACTGGAAGCAGCTCTAGCAGCAGCATCATTACGTGTCCAAAGCATCACTTTTCTGGGAAGGACCCGATAAAAACATGTAATGCTGCTCACAGCAATTAGTGCTAAATCTGGCAAAACGACCTTCCCTCAGGGGTGTCCTGAGGATGGCACTTCTGTACAGCACAGGCAGTGAACTAACTACAAAATAATTACCAAACGGAAAACAGAGATATCTCATAATCGCAGAAGATAAAGTTTTAGAACTTGAGCATCTGTTGCTTGCAAAAATTAGTATATCCCTTCTTCAGCTTCTATAACTACATTTTAAAATAGGCTAGAGGAAGGACCTTTGATGTGAGAAATCCTGACTGTAGGGGCAACTGACCTCTACAATAGAGGACAAAATGTTGCCTGCTGGAGAGCTGCTAAAAGCACAAAGCTTGCATGTAACAGTCTAATTTCTTGTATGGAAATATGGCTGCATTGGCCTGTTTGCCCACTTTGGTTTATAGGTTGGATTTTTACTGCAGAATTGTTTCAGAAGTTTAAATTCCACCTTATGAATTAATTTGAGGCTGAAGGAAGCTTTTTCCTTTTAGTCAAAGATTATAGTAGGTCTTACTAGAATGAAGGAGTATGCTGAAAAGCCTGTCTTAAGCACAACTGAGTTCCTTAGTTCCTTTATACTAGAACAGCATAAATCCAAATTAAGTGTAAGGTTTTGTTTTTAGGAATTGCAAACTACTGTTCCTTCAGAAAGTTGTGGGTTTGCACTCATCAGCCCAGCTGCCATTGACAGTGCACCACCTGCAGCAAGCTTTCAGGAACAAGGCAGTGAGCAAAGAAAGGTAACTGCTCCCCTTTCCTTTCAAGTCCTCGCTGCACGCGGGCGCTTCCGATCTCTGGGGTCTGTTCCAGCTTTCTTTCCAAGCTGTGCGGTGCCCTCCGGTGGCTAAAGTGTGCAACTTAAATACCATCGAGTTATCTTGCAGGTTCCTCCTCATGATTAACTGAACTGGACTGACTTTACATTACTTAAGAGAATAAAATGTTTAGTTAAAAACAAAGTTCAAGAAAAAGAGCTTTAACTGCAGATGAAGTGGTGTTCTGAGCCAGATCATGTTTAGGCTGTGCCAAAGACTTTTCAGGCTCTAGTGTTTGAAAGTTGTTTTTTTTTTACTTTTTTAATAACAAATCTGCAAACACAAGCTTTTACCTGTAGTTTAATATTTATGTACTGATGGATAGCACCTAGAGGCCTCAACCAACATTTGAGCCCCCTCAATGT